TCCCTCCTTTCACTGGGAGTCTCCAACTTATTTAGAGCTCTGAAATAAAGTGGATAAAAAGACTGATTTTCCTCTTGGTGTTCTGTTCACCTCGCACCAAGTCCCAAACCTGGTAATTAGGGTCGATTGGCTGGACCCAAACAATACCAAGTTTATTTATTTTTTCCTTGAAAAATATATTTGGATTAAATTAACTGTCTTTATCAGTGTACTAACATCGTTTTACCTATGTATGCTTTGCAAAGTCTAAATTAGCCTTGAGGAAGGGTGAAAATGTTCATATCCCTGATTTTTCAGGAAGTTATTATTAACAGAGAACATGATAATAAAACAACATGTAGCTTACTAGAAATAAAAAAGTTTTCAGTTTTCTTATTCTGTTAGATTGGGATAAGAAAACTTTGAGATAGATCATGTTAATTAACAGAAATACCATAGTATTGCGGCAAAGCTGTAGAGAACTTTAGTTCCATATTTCAAACCTGCAGATTTTTCTATAATCCTTCTGTGGACAATACCTGACTTAAAGAAATTAAATATATTTATAGAATTTTCTGCTCTTGAAATATTCTTGCTCACAGTAATAAACTTGGGGCTCTGAAATTCTGTCTTTTGCACAACATATCTTTGACTCCCATACTGAAGATTTTCAAACTGAATATGTACAACTAGGAATCCAATACTGGTTTTTAAGAGTGGAAGGAATAATGAAATATTGGTAACCTTTGTCTCACCCTGAAATCTGTCCTTACTGGCTTTTTTTTTTTTTTTTTTGACATATTTGTTTCTTTATTTGTACTCTACGTAGCTCTGAGAAGCCTAACTGGGATTACCACACAGAAATAGAGGCTTTTGGACACCGGATACATGAGACATTCCCACTGGACCAACTCAAAACTGCATTTGTTAATCCCTGCTATATAACAAAGGAAGAATCTAAACGCCAAGAATTTGGACTAGAAAAAGAAAACCTTGCTCTTAATCTCAAAGACAATCAGGAACTTTATCTGCAGGGGGCTTCCTTTTCACACTCTTATCTCACACAGTGCTTTGAAGAGGCCTATCCAAAAATGCCACCTGCAGGCGTTGAGGCTCTTGTTAACTATCTCACCAGTGAAGAATTAGTATCTTACATTGCTAGAAACCTATCTTTGCAAGACTTGACACTTTGTGCAGAATTTCCTGTGCCACCTAAGGTGCTGCAGCAGACTTTTTTTGCTGTAATAGGAGCTTTGCTTCAAGGTAACAGCATTCAAAGAACAGAGATCTTTGTCAGGGTAAGTTATTATAGAATGTAATGTTGTTACGGTTAGCAAAAAAAAAAAGTTATTTGTATCCATCCAAGATTACAAAGTTGGTACAATACATAAGAAAATATAACATATTGTTCAAACATTAATAATGTTCAGCTGTCTTTGAGGTTTTACTCGGTGAGATTGACTGAGATGGAATTGTTTTAATGAGTTAATAGACGAGGTTGCTTAGAGCAGAGAGAGGCCGTCATGGTGACAAGGGACTTTATTTACATTTGGGGGCAGAGCAAGGAGTACAGCTAGTGGGGATTCATGTCAAGTGGACCAGATCAGGGACTAGATCACCTGCGTGGGATTTTTTTGTTTTGCTTTCCTATTTGCAGGATAGTCTTTGCATTTTTTTGTATTCAGTCTATACAGCATTTATATGATAGTTTTATTGTTTCCTACCTCAAAATTATAGGAAACCATATTGCTATATTTAGCAGTTGCACAGTTGAACTTTGGTGATATGGTAAAAAGTGGCTTGGGATGCCTCAAAAACAAATGTTGGGACACAGATTGCCTAGCCCTAATTTAAATGCAGTATTAAAAACAAAAAAACACTATGCCCTTAAGAAAATAAGGCATTTTATATGCTATTACACAACCAAATTTTGGCAACTTTTTTTCTTCATAAACATTTGAAATTGGTGATCCAGTGTTCTTTTAACATGAGATTTGCATAGGTGCAATATTCTGATGCATATTTGCAAATTACATTTGTAGAACACAGTATTAAGAGAATTAAGAAAAATATTCTCCCTTCCCAATGACATTATTAAAGACTTGGAAAAAAATAAACGCCTGAAAATTAGCTCCACTGCAAAATTTACATGTACAGATCCAGCTGTCCTGGCAGAATTTCAGTCTAGCATTGTGCTTTATTTGCTTTTTGATTACATGGAGGCTATGAAAGCATTTCTTTTAGACCACCAGTGCCCTTACTGCTCTATAAAATTAATATTTTAAGCCTCACAAATATCTGGTGCTGCTTAATGCTGATGTGAGAAATGCTATTTTATGCAACTATCCATAAGGGAGGTTGACTTTATGGAAGATAATTTCAGAACATTTATATTTGGCATAGCCTGTAGACTTCCTTAGGTGCTTAACATGGCTATCTTGGCTCTGATTATTTTGTGAAAATTAAACATGATGGCATGGTTTTCCTTGTCTCCGAAGCTCCTATGCAGTGTTCCCACTTCCACTGCATTAATCTATAGAGACTTTTTCCCTTGGTATGGTAATAAAAAATTATCTCAATGCTTGAGAGGTATAATAGGTTTATAGTGGTATAATGCAGCAACAACTAGGCATTACAAAAGATATGCCCCAGTGAAACAAAAGAGTTCGGTTTGATTTTAAAGAATTGTATATTATGTATCTAAAAAAATGATCATTGTCATTATTTTAAAGTTACTCAAGTATAGTATTCTGTTTGATATCACATGAATAAAAAAATATTGTTGTCTTTTTAATATTTGTTTACAGGACTTCTTCATCCCTCAGTTGATAGGAAAGGACCTGTTTGAGATATGGAACATTGTAAACCCCATGGGCTTGCTGCTGGAAGAACTGGCCAAGAGGAATATAACTGCTCCAGAACCAAGGCTAACCAGGCAGTCAGGAGCTAGCACTGCCCTGCCCTTGTACTTTGTTGGATTGTATTGGTTAGTAAGATTTCAGGCTGATTCAGACTTGTTACTATGTACTGAAGATGGACCCCTGGCTTACCACTTATATGTAGTTCATATAATGCTTCAGTGGAATTTCATGTAGAAAATAAGACATGCATAGGCAGTTTAGTTAGTATCCCTTGTTAGGGAGCAGCATGCCTCCAAGCACCAATTGTAGGAGAATAATGTCAGGAGAAGTGGCTGGTTGGCCACTGAGAAACAAGCTGAATTCAGGTGGCCTTGGCAGTTGGATCCTGCAGGGTTTAGTATTCCACTTCCACTTCATATAACCTAAATACGTTAATAAAATCTAAAGTCGCTTATCATATTCTCAGTTATTTGCAGTGCATATTATATCTTGTAAAGAATTACATATTTTTGTCAGCTTCTGCTCCCTAAAGAATAAGTGTCAGTCATTGTCCCAATACATTTCCAGCTTATATCTCTACAAGATATGAGTGCTTTCTGACAATGAAATGATTTGTCTCTGGCATTCTTCAGCCTGTTTCAGGAGTGAAGACTTTGCCACGTGGGTTCAGAAATAATAGTGTCATAACTTGCTCACTGTTAAGCTCATTGTAATTGCTTTTGAGCTCCTTCTATGGGTTTTGAGCCTTTAAAGGATGGAGGATACTTTTTTAGTTTTTATCTTGTTTTTATCCTAGTCTTGTCTTTTTCCTATTGTTATTACTACTTTTCATGGGTTATTCTTGATCTTTCTCTGTTCCCTTTTTTCCTCTGAATGGAGTAATTTTGCAGGTTCAGTTCTAGTTTGTGCACAATTGCTTTTGCAACAGTAAATGTTTTGTAATTCTTGATTGTACGACATGATTTATAAACAAACATTATGGCTTAGGATTGTTGGTAGTGGCACAAAGGATATTGATACTATCAGGAAATGGAAAGATTAATTAATTTATTGATTTTTATCCTCTCCTTGTAAAATCCAGCACCATCTTTCTTAATATTTTTGATTTTCTCCTTTTGTTTTCTGGAAGCAAAATCTGGATCTAATATTTCATCTTTTATTAATTTGCATTTCAGTATATTACATGAAATCACTACAGAACAATCTAGTAATAAAGGTAGAAGATACATTCCTTAAAACGGAAACATAGAAGAATAGTTTCAAAATCAGTTTATGCAGAGATCAAGTAATAGAATAAAATTGTGTTTTTTTTAGAAAAATTTTATTACACAGATAAAATATACAATTACATAAAGCAATACAAAACATAAAATTCAGACAGACATCTAAAAGCCTTTTACAAAAGACATACCTTAAACAAGAATAACATTGTTTTTGACAGTTATCTGAGGCTTGCCAATTTATAGTCAAGGAGCTGTTTGAGGTACCAGTTTTTTGATGATTGATTTACAAAAAGGCTATGTACTCTTTACTAAGGCATGCTCTTAGCTGTTAGATAAAAGGAAAGTGTGTGTTGCCTGGTCTGTATGATGGGGTGCATTATTATAGACTTCATAAAGATATTTCCTCTCTTTTCAGTGATAAGAAGCTTCTAGCTGAAGGTACTGGTGAAACAATATTAGCTGCTGAAGAAGAGGCTGCCCGTGTGGCCCTGCGGAAACTTTATGGCTTCACAGAGAACAGGCAACCCTGGCGTTACCCTTCTTTGAAATGGGAGAAGAAAGCTGAAAATGTTATTAGCAGTAGTTAGGCAAGAAAGGTCAAGTCCATTTACAACAATACTGCATTTCAATAAGGAAAATATGTTTTCTTTCTGTTCTATTGAACTCTGAATTAAAATGGATTGAATAAAAGTGATCTATCAGAGGATTCATAAGATATCAGCATTCATTGTGTTGTTGTGGAAAGCAATCCTTCATTTCCTTGTACTATGAATATTTGGATTCTCAACCCCAAGAAAGGGATTATATATCTCACTTCTTGATGGGGAGCTAAAATTAAATTTGTGGCATCTTCATGATCAAGTGAATATGTGACTGGGTATATTTCAGTGCCCAGGTCCAACTTCATACATTTGTATCACAGTAATTTGCAACCTTCACCCAATGTTCATCAAAGTTTATAGCCTGTTAAGTACATTTGCAAGGACAGACCATGAGGATGTACTAGGAATTTCTTGTATGTAATTCTCACTAGAACAAATAGTGATTGTGCAAGATCAGAAATTCCAGTGATGCATTAAAAGGATCCCCCACACATACATATTTAGAAACAAAAATAACCACTGAACACAGCTTTAAAAAAACATTCACCTATGTATAAGTATATTTCAGTTTTGGCTTTTATTAAAACAGAATGCTTTTGTAGTCTTCAAACCTCTTGAATGTCCTTCTTATAGTAGATCTGAATGCTGACATCATCAGCTGTTAGCTATTGAATAATCCTATACCAATGGTCCCCAACTTTTTTGGCACTAGGGACCAGTTTCGTGGAAGACAATTTTTCCATGGACCAGGGTGGGGGATGCTTTCAGGATGATTCAAGTGCATTACATTTATTGTGCACTTTATTTCTATTATTATTACATTGTAATATATAATGAAATAATTATACAAC